GAACAGTAAAAAAGTAGGAACTGATCCAATAGTCATGCTATAACAAGCCATGTATTAAAAATTTTAAAAAATAGTTAGTACAAACATATTAAATCAATTTAAAGTTTGAATACTTACCGTCCACTCCATTTTCTGACGACATCTTGAATTGCTGAGATCTTGAGTTATTGGAGCGAGAATTCTAATGCGCATGTCCGACTGATGCCGGTTCAGCGTTTCCATTTGGAAGGAAATTTCCTTCCAGAAGGAAATTTGGGCCTTTGGAAATTCCTTTGGAAGGAAATTTGGAAGGAAATAGCATTTGGGAGGAAATATTGTTATAAGGAGGGAAATGAGAAGGAAATCTATTTTATCTCATAATTTCTAGGAATAAGGCAATTTTCATACAAATTTGTGCAAAAGAAGACTCTGAAAATGCAATTTCCAACGATCTGGAGACTCCATATTTCCAAAATTTTCCGCTCAGCGCCAACCATGGTGGGCCTGGTGGTGCGCCTCGTGGGCCCCCCAAAGCGAGATCTCACAGATGGTTTTTTTTCCAAAGTTGGCAACTATGTATCTAGCACAGAACCCCAGAATCGCTATTGAAATAACAACCAAACCTCGTACCCAGGGTATTATTTCTCAGACTCTACTTGGGGGAGGGGGGCTGCTTAGCGTGGCAGAGGCGAGAGATGCAAGAAACAGTTATGGAATCTCTTTTCGCACCCACAGCAAGTAGCCCCAATTATTATGCTTTTTGTCCCCCGCGGGGGCAAATATAAGCTGATTTTAACCGGCAAAATACAAAGTTATCTGCTATAAATTAATATAATGTGTTTCAATACTAGAGTTTAGATGTTAATTACCAGGTAAATCTGTCAATTTTGATAAAAATTTTGAAAGAAAAATGGAAGGATATTTAGAGATTTTTGGAGGGAAATTCTGTGGAAAAAAAGGAAATTTTGGGTTATGGAGAAGGAAATTATTTTTTTGGGAGTGGAAACACTGTGCCGGTTGCTTGGAAAAATATAAACATGGCGGAATGACAACAACAGTTGCCAAGCTCATATTGGTCGATAAACTCGATATTTGCAGGAGTTTTCAAGCAAATATAATTTGTCAAGCTATTTGTATTACTTTAACGAGTATTACTGCCTAATGCTGTGAGCTAGGAGATCTCATCGTCGTAAGTCTGGAGAAAACATTGTCTAAAATCCACTTTTTGACTTTATAAACTGCAGAGCATCATCGAAAAACATGAGTGAGCAATTGAAGTTTATAGTCGACAATCTCAACCAGAAACCATTTAATAAAAGCTACAATTTGATAAGGTAGGTGATTTTTTATTCTCATTGCTGGATAACATTCTTTCGTTTTGTTGTGAAAGGAGGCAAAAATAAATTGTTGGATTTAATAGGTTTTGTAGGGGAATATTAGTTATGTTAGAAAAAATTAACTAGTCATATTATACCTCAAATTCAAATTGTCCAATGAAAAAATCTCTTTTTTTTTCTGTGCTGGTGTTCTTTGGGCATGGTATTTATTTCACTCAAATTCATGATACTATAATATCCCACGGTAGATCCACCATGAAATATTATAGTATCTCACATGTGACGTGTGGACACCATGTTTGTAATAGCCTGCGAACAGGCTCTCAAGGTGAAATGAGAGCCTGCATCGATGACTAATGAATTTGAATATCTGCCCCATAACCGTTCGTTTTTCCAAATATGGAATGTCTATCCTAATATGGTGTTGTTTACAACTTTCGTGCAAACTAAATTTAGACCGTACAAACTAAATTTAGACCGTACAGTTTATATTGTTTTTCAAAATATAAGATATTCAAGCAAAAGTTTAAATGTTTTAAATACTGTTTTCTCAAAACAGAACATTTCGTGCCTTGAGATAAGATGGCCAAGACCAATTTGATCAGTTAATGTGTTTTTTATACATAGTGCTTCAGCAGTTGACATATAGAGCTCTGCAGAAACATATAAATTATAGCATCTGACCAATGAGAATTTCGCGTCAAGATTCGGGATGCAGATATTCAAATTCATTAGTCATTGATGCAGGCTCTCATTTCACCTTGAGAGCCTGTTCGCAGGCTATGTTTGTAATTTTGTACAGAAGATTTATTGATTTAACCAAAGATTTTCAAAATGTATGTTACCTTCAATGATCCAAAGGATACATGCTCAAATATTTTAAAGAGAAAACGTCAAAAACCCAGGTATACATGAGAAATTAAAAATTGTATTTGCTTAGTTAATATTCAGCAAGTTTTAAAGGTTATTCCAAACTTAGTGGGTTCTTTAACTTTCGGTATATTATATCATTTATAAACCCTCCGCTCAGGGGATTCGTCGAAATATTACCCTCAGTGATGATATATCCCTCGGGGCAAAGCCCCTGGTAATATTCCACCGAATCCCTCTCGCTCTGGGTCTATAAATGATAAATATCTCACAGTAAACTTGTCCAATGAGAGAACCAGGTTTGTATGTCCCAGGCAACTCGCATCCTTACTCTTTTCTCCAGGCATGGTATTTGACTCAAATACAATCTTGTTATGATCTCCATAATTCCCCTTTTTACTGATTCGCTGTCATTGCATATATTAATTATATTTTTACTCCAGTTCTGGAACCTAACTTGTTATTGAATATACCTTCCTAAAAGGGCTTACTGTGCTTTAAAAGTACTTACATGATTGGAGGAATGAGCACTGGCACAATGTGCATGCAAATAAGGCTAACAAGCATGATGGAATTCTGTTGGAAATTTTCTGTGGTTCCATACAATGTATAAATGTTGCTGGCCATTCCAGGCCACAGATGAAAACCATTGATTGAAACCCTTGAGGCCAGCTGCTATGATTCATGGCCATGTGGAAAAAACTAAGTCACTGCAATCTTGAGAATCATAAATTATGTTTCAACATGCAATTTCCAAAGAAGTCCAAATAAGACCATCCTTTGGACCGCCCGTTGATACATGTCTATAGTACATATATAATCAAGAGGATGAACTAGAAGTGCCAATGCAATGAGTAAATGTCACAAGTTGTTTCAAAATACCATGTATTTCCTGTAACATCGTGTTTTGATGCAGTATGATATGATTTAGGGGCTGCCTACATGCATGAACCCACTGCATGAACCCACTGCTGGAATTGGATACATAATTAGGATGTTGTTTCTGATGTAGCGTATTGAATAGAACGTCAGGGCGACGGGTTGGTTTTGATGTGTCAAAATAATTAAAATAAATAGCAACGTGCAAAGCAATGGCATTTTCAGTCAATTTCCCTCGATTGTCTATGATCTATGCAAAATTCTATCTCCTGCAGCGACGGACTTTGTGATCATGCGTCCAAGAAACTGTGATTATGTGCATTTGCAGATATGTTTGTGTTTGACCTACAAATCTTTTCCGGAGGTCAATCTTACTTTATGATAAGGATTCGAGCTGTTGTATAAATGATGTAGTTAAAAAGAGGACTGAGGAGAGTTTGAAAGTGCATGCATCCCTCGACCAGAACTACCAGATTGATCTAGGATGTCAAAATCGTATTGTATCATATTAGATCTATCTAGGGATAAGTTTTACTATTAATACTTAATATGTGTAAACGACTCTTGTTTGTTTTCCACCGACGGAGATACTTTTCAAAGTCGTAAACTCCAAGCCTACTCCTACAGCCTTTTGAATTCTAGGAGACTTCCATGCACTACAGGGTGTATAAAAAAAACTGAACAGATTTGAAATTGCTCTCAATTTCGCAAAACAGCTATTAGTATCCAGTTTTATATATATATATAGTATATATATATATATATATATATATATATATATATATATATATATATATATATATATATATATATATATATATATATATATATATATATATATATATATATATATATATATATATATATATATATATATATATATATATATCATAA